TCTCTCTCTCTCTCTCTCTCTCTCTCTCTCTCTCTCTCTCTCTCTCTCTCTCTCTACTAACTATACTCTACTATGATCTACCTGGATACCCTACGCTGTCCTAGTCTACTCTAGTCTGGGCGGCTAAGGCCGAGTAGCACTTCCACCCAACTGGTGAAAGAATCCATGCTGGACTGAACTCGACCGCATTGCTCACTTTGGCCTCACTTCAGCCTTCAGCCTCTGGTATCTTGTCATAGAACGCCCACCTGCTTCAATTTGTCTAGATGTAATCCAAGATGGCTCTAAGGCTTGTAAAGCAAACTTTCCAAAAACAATTGAACTCCCTCTTGTTTTCATTCTTCCTCTATGATGTTTAAGAAATTTAGTTTTACGAGGGGGGTAATCGGTAATAGAAAACAGTTTATTACCTCTACTTTAAAACCGGACGTGAAATTTTATTGCCGATTGCTTGGCCTGGGTACCAGTCCCTTCCTGAAATGTTGCTGCAACCTGGACCCAGGGTCTGGGACTGACTTTGGCATTGGACACAACCCTTTGTTTACGTCTCTTTGGGGTACCTTGTGACTACTGACTATACTTTCTGACTTTGACTGTGTCTCGTGACCCCTGACTGTTTCTCTTGACCTATGACTGCGTCTGTTGACTGTGTCCATGTCCTCTGCCTTTTGGACCGTGACTCTTGACCGTGACCTTTGAAAAGTGTCTTTGAATTGAGGCTGTGCCTTTTGGCTTCTTGCTGCTAAAGTCCCTTCAAACTTCTGTTTTTTTTTTTTTTTTTTTTTTTTTTTTTAAATTACGTCTCTAGCCTATATTTGATGACTCTGGGTTCATTAAAACGGGGACACAAACTTGTGGTCCTTTCAAACCAGGCAATCAATCAATCAACCAGGCTATCAATGAATCTGCAAGGAGACCTTCACTCATGCATCATCCATTCCATGTGAGCGTGCAGATATGGTGGTCACACCAAACACATGAAAATCAAGTTGTCCTTCCCCTCTTTGAGAATCGCCACACGGTTCAACGACATTTCCAGAGTTGCCGTCGTCAGATACCGCCTGCACACAGCACGACGTTATAGATGGTGCAGCTATGGTGGGTCAGCCCCACAGGTATGCCCGCAGACTTGCAAGTTTGAGATAACAGGCCTTCCTCAATTACACCGTCGAGTGCCGCTTGAAACTTCCGTGAAACTTCCCACAGCGCATACCCTGTCACAGACTGCTGCAAACAGAGGGATGCAGGTCAGAGTTCAACGCAGTCGTTGTGGGAAGTTTCACGGAAGTTTCAATCTCTACTACCCCAACCCCCTACACATCATGAGCTTCCATCTCAACCATCATTTTCGCCAAAAGCACGAGTTTGAGTCCCTCTCTGCCACAAGCATGTCTCCTTCTCTCTTCTACGCAGGAAGGATCTCTCCCTGAACATCGAAGTGGCGCTCCCTCTCGATGGCTCACTCACCACCATGCAAAAGATGTCTCCTGCAAACGTCCGGCACAACAGGGCAATCCCACTCCAAAAGCAGCGGCAGAAAACAATAGCTACAAGTGGCATTGCGATTGCCCTATGACTCCAGCTATGGCTGTCGTCTTCAACACGCAGCGCACTGCTTGATTTCACAAACCAGCACCATGCAGAATGCCGAATCTGCAAAAACAAATTTGTGGGACCGAGGGTGACGCCTGTGCGACTGTGTACCGTAAAGGTCTCCTGGTTGGTACCTGCGGTCTTGAGCTGAAATGCCAACTGCCGTACCCTGGTACCGTCAAGGCCTCCTTGAACGTGTAAATAAATAAATAAATAAAATCAAATCTCTCTCTCTCTCTCTCTCTCTCTCTCTCTCTCTCTCTCTCTCTCTCTCTCTCTCTCTCTCTCTCTCC